ATAGACTATAGACTAGACTATAGACTAGACTATAGTACTATAACTAGACTATAGACTAGACTATAGACTAGACTATAGACTAGACTATAGACTAGACTATCGACTAGACTATAGACTAGACTATAGACTAAACTATATACTAGACTATAGTTTAGACTATAAACGAGGCTATAGACCAGAATATACTATAGACTAGACTATAGAATAATCTATAAAGTAGAATATTGGCTAGACTATAAACTATAGTCTAGACTATAGACAAGACTATGCTATAAACTAGACTATAAACTAATCTATAAAGTATACTATTATCTAGACTATAAACTATAGGCTATGCTATAAAATAGATTATTGACTAGACTATATTTTCTTTAAAATAACGGTTTAACTAGTTATTTCCTCAAATATTTAAACAAAATTAAAAAAAAATAATTCAAAATTCTAATTTGACAAACCATTTTTTTGATTAATATTTATTTTATTTTCACAAATATTATTATTTATTTTATAAGTTTATTTATTCTTCTTTATTTAAGTATTTGCATCTATTTAAATAACTAATAAAAAAACATAAACGTTCAAAGCATTTTTTTCAAATTCAATGTCAATTTTGTTTTTATTATTATTTTCTTTTCAAAATAAAACTGCATAAGTATTAAAATTGTTATTAAAATACTGCAAAAAAAAAAAAAAACACAAAAGATAATATATTAAACGAAAAAAAAAAATAAAAACAAAAAAAGTGTACGTGATCATTTACACTTTAAAACGAAAAAAAAAAAAAAAAAAATAATAAAATAAATATGATCAAATAATAATTATTTTATAATATAAACACAAACAAATATTCATGCATTTAATATAGAATTTAGCTGTTTTTGTGTTCTATTAAAAAACAAACTTCATTGACAAAGAAATATCTGAAAGAAATTCTCACCTCACAAATAATAACAAAAAAATAAATAATTAAAATCACTTTAAAAAGAATTAAGTTAAAACGTAATTATGTTATGATTCCAAAAAAATGGCAATTGAGGGGTGTTAAGGGAAATTATAGTAAAATGGGAAATTATAATTAAATGTATTTTACCTTTTGTTTTCTATCAAGGAAACCTTGTATTTAGTTTATAGACCAGGAAGGTGGTGTTTATTATGGTTTTTTAATATAATATTTTTTTATTTATAAACAACATAGATATATTTATAAATAGTTTATATTAGTTGGGTTCACATTTATGTGGATTGGGAACAAATTAGAGTTGCAATTGAATATACCTTTACCTCATAATATCAAGTGAAAGACAAATAATAAGATTGAGAGAGCTTTACTGTAACAGAAAGCTCCCTACTCTGTATATCACACACTCGTAAGCTCTTTTGTTACTCTCTGCCGATACTGTAATAAGCTCTCAAATGAAGAAATAAAGAAAATCAATCCGAGAACTTACATATTACTCTCGGGCGATGTATGAGCACTTAAATGAACTCTCTTATAGTCTTTCTTTCACTCCTACATATACTTATACATGCATAAAAAATAAGCAAAAATCTGTCACAGAACTAATTTACTCTCTTTCGATGTATAATCTATAAAGAGCAGATATAGACATAAAGCTCTCTTGAGCTCATATGGATCTCTTTGATGATCTTAATAAGCGATTCGCAAAGAGCTTTCTATTACGCTTGATTTGATCTATAAATAGCTCCCAAACATACAAATTAATCATATCAGAATTTGTTTTACTCTTTGCCTATCTTCGATCTATAACGATCCGATATAAAGAGAAAACTCTCCCGTGAACTCTCTTGCTTTCATCTGTACTTTAGCTCACACATGTATAAACTAACAAAATCAAAGAGCTTAATTCTAATCTTTTACCGATACTTGATCTATATAGAAACCCTTTAGATAATTTTACCATTATCTCTTCGCAATCTCTTTAATTCCTCTAGATTTTGTAGGAAATAAGATCAAAGCAAGTGAAAGATTACAACTTTATCACTCTTTACAATATATATTCAGATATCGTTTATAAAGTTTTGGACTCTTAAGATATTTAATAGAATTTAAATGTTTCCTTTGAAATTCAAACATTTTTTATGCCTGTAAAAAGGGGATCTACCTAATGTACATAAACGGTTAGTCAGTTTAAACACATGCCAATGTTGTTCAGTTAAGCCTACTAAAATTGTTTTCATAGATAAGCTTTAATAATATAAATAACTTAAAGAAAAAAAATTACTGACTTTTTTCCATAACTAAACAAATGGGTCATTCCATAACCAACGCTAATCAAAAGTTAAAATGGTTTGTTTGAAACTATTTGATAGAAAAGTGGCAATTCAAATCAATATAACATTTGAAATAAATATGTTTGCTTTCAAAATAATCGAGAGCTGGTTAAGAGAGATGACTAGAGCGCTCTTTGTTGATATCTGTTTTAAATCAGGCATCAGCAGAGATTAACAAATGAACTAACTCTCTGATTGGCTGTGTTTGTTTGTTTTACATATCCGAGCTTGTGTACTTGCTAAAGTAAGAAAGTTGACTAGAGAGCTATTCATTGATAGAGTAGGCAACGTCATCAAAATAATATATGAGCTCTCTGACTGTTTTTTTTTATAAATGTACGTAGAAGCAAGTGAGCATCACTGAGGCGCTCTTTTTTGACATATTATTTTGAGCATGCATCAGTGTGAGAGCAAATGAAAACTAGAACACTTTGCCCATGATTCAAACTTCAACCCGCAGAAGTTTGGACTACAAATAGCTTACGTTTGAAAGCAGGAGAGTTGACTTGAGTCAAAAACAATAAATTAGCCCTTTCACTATTTGCATGTGTAAGTTTACATACATAAAATCAAATGAGGATCATTAAAGCGCTCTTTATTGATATGTATGTTGTTCATGAGCATGAGAACAAATGAAAAGGAGAACTCTTTGTGTATAAAAATTGCGAATAAATCTCTGGCAGTTATAATTCAAAGTACTCTCACAACATGCAGAGCTAATAAATTTGCAAATGAGAGTTATTAAACTGCTCTTTGTTGACATGTTGTTATTGAACATACAACATTTTGAAAGCAAATGAAACATGCAGAGCTAATAAATTTGCTCTTTGACTGAGTTTACGTACGTAAAAGCAAATGAGAATCATTGAAACTTTTGACTGTATGCATGTGTGAGTTTACATACGTAAAATCAAATGAGGATCATTAAAGCGCTCTTTATTGATATGTATGTTGTCCATGAGCATGATAACAAATGAAAAGGAGAACTCTTTGTGTATAAAAATTGTGAACAAATCTCTGCAAATGAGAGTCATTGAAACGCTCTTTGTTGACATGTTGTTATTGAGCATACAACATTATGAAAGCAAATGAAACATGCAGAGCTAATAAATTTGCTCTCTGATTGAGTTTACGTACCTAAAAGCAAATGAGAATCATTGAAACACTCTTTGTTGACATATTGTTATTGAGCATACAATATCATGAGAGCAAATAAAAGAGCATAACAAAATTGTGAACAAATCTTTGGAAGTTATGATTTAAAGTTCTCACAGAACTTGTTCACTCTTAAACAGCTTTATTGAACGAAGTACTTGGCCTAAAGCTTTTAAAGCATGCTTCATGGAAAGCCCCATAACAATATTAGAACCTATTTTATTATTAAAATAAATATTATCGATTTTTGTGTACTTTTTTTTTTGCTCCCACATAAATGTAAAGGAAAACAAATTCATTTTATGTACATATGAAATATATAAAAAACAACAAAAGCCAACAATTTTTTATTAACAATGTTAAAAAAATCAACAACAACAACAAAAAGAAAATTGTATTTAGATATATGTACATGATATTATTAGTGACTAAACTAAATATATAAACATAAAACCAACATACATACATACATACATAGTTGTAGATGTATAAAAATACTTTGATGTAGTTGATGTATAAATTGTTTTTAAGGTTATTGGATGGTTTATAACATTGAAATGATGTCAAGGTTTGTTTTTTTAAAAAAAAAAAAGATGGTTTACTCTGTTTTATATAAAAATAGTACGTAACTTAAACAAAGGGAAAAGATTTTTGCTAAATAAATTTTTTTGCTAAATAAATTTTATTGAAAATTTTAAATTTAAAAAATTTTTTTAAAAGGAAGTAAAATTTTTCAAAATTATTGTAATACAATTTAAAACAAAGCCGCAAAGATGTTGTTACTTTCAACACTTATAGATATATATAACAACAAGAAAAAAAACCGTCTTTTTTTGGAAACAAAAACTTGTTTCCTTAGTTTGCACCTTGCTTTTTGTAAAATGTATCTGTATCTGTAACATATGCCAAAATCGTCAGAAAAAAATTTATATATATTTTTTTTTAATGAAACCAAAAACATATTTAACTGAAAACAAAAAAACATACAGCTGTCTGTCTTTCTTTATTGTTAGTGTAAAATTTAATTTGTGTTTTAAACAATTTGTATTGAATGAATGCATATTTTTGTCGAAACGTATATACGAGAGATGGTTTGGAGATGCTCTTGATTAAAGTCGTTGTATACAAACAAATTTCAAAAAAAAAAAAAAAACTTTAAAATTTTTTAAACGTTTTTAAAATATGCGTAATCATTAATAATGATACAGGTAGTAGTGGTAAACACTTCCTATAATACAGCACACATACAAAGACAAGACAGGTTACTGAAAAACACAGCTAAACACAAATCCACAGGCGCGTGTTAAAACTCAACAGGTGTATTTATCAAAGAAACAATATACATATGTATATGAATAAAGGAGTCAGTGATCAACCATTAACAAATTAAAGATCAAAAAGCCATAAATATTTTTTAAAATTACAAAATAATTAAATTTATATTAATTTTTAAAATTTATATTATTTTAAAAAAAAATTATTTTTATTAAAACAAATTTAATAAATTTTATTTCTATTATTAAATTTTCTCTATTTTCTTTATCTTTTTCCAGAAAAAATGATGAAATGAATGGCCAAGCAGGCTCCTCAAGGGCTCCAGCCTTAGGGGGCCAAATATCACCACCTGGCGGTTATACAGAAGCACAACATCAACAGCAGCAACAATTCCAACAGCAACAGCAATTCTATCAACAACAACAGCAGCAACAGCAAAATTTCCCACATCAACAGCATCATCCACATCTCAATCATCAACAACAACAACAGCTTCATCATCAACAACAGCACCAGCAGCAACATCAACAACAACAACAACACCAACAACATTTTCTAAATCATGCCAATACCAATACATCTTATCCCGGCAGTAGTTCTTATTTAGGCGAATCCGATAGTTTACGCACTTTAAATAATACCTTTGGTCCCAATTCGGAATTTACCTCATCGACGTTAAAAGAGGAGCGTCTACAGTTTCCCGGTGGCCACACTAGAGATAGTGTTAGTGCGGGTGCTGCCAGCACGAGTAGTGTTAGTGGTGGTGTTATAAGTCCTGCCTTAACTTCGCCTGCGGCAAATTCGGCCAGCAATCCATCGGCGAATTATAATAATATGGTAACAGCTACTGGTGCTCAACAGGCCAATATGGATGCTATGAGTAGTTATAGTCAGGTGAGTGTTAACTTTTATTAAAACTCTCTCCCTCTCTCTTGCAAAAAGGCCAAATTAAAATATGCTTAAAACAGAGTTTGGATCTCTTTTTTTTTTAACTTGCACGTCTCTCTGCCGATGCTTGATTGATAAAGTTAACATGGCAAAAGAGTGAAAATTAAGCTCTTTAATTTGTTTTGCATATTTTTGTAAGCTTATTCACGTACGCAGGCAAGATAGCTGTTTTGAATGCTCTTTGTTTATATCTGTTTTAAAACAGCTATGAGTGGAGAATAAAAACTGAGCTCTCTGACAGATTTTGTTTGTGTTTTATATGTTAGTGAGTAAAAGTGCTGACTAGACCACTGTCTGCCGCTGCATGTCTTAAAGAGAGTTTTATATTTCTCTGCCGATGTCTGATTTAAAAGCAAACTTCTTCTGAAGATAGTAAGAAATGAACTATCTGACTGATTTTGTTTGTTTTGTATACATGTGTGAGCAAGGGACCGCTTTCATCTGAAGTCTGTTTATTGCGATTTGATAAGTTAAGCCAGAGAGCTTATTTATTACTCTCTGCTGATGCCTGCTTTAAAACAGATATCAACAAAGAGCTGTGTATGAACTCTTTGTTGCCATCTGTTTTAAAGCAAGCATCAATAGAGAATAACAAATGAGCTCTCTGACTGATTTTGTTCTCTTTATACATGTAACATACGTACGAGTGAAAGCAAGAGCGTTAACTTCAGCGCTCTTTGTGCATATCTGCAGACATCAGCAGAGAGTAATAAATAAGCTCTCTGGCTGCTTTTTTGTATACATTTGTAAGCTTGTGTACGTAAAAGCAGAATAGATCACTCAGGCGCTCTTTGTTGACATTTGAGCAGGCATACGCGTAAAAGCAAGTGAGCAATAGAACTCTTTAACTTTTTATAAAGATTTTCTTGTTGTTGCCAACCTAATTTACATATAATTTCCGTCCTAGAAAACATGTTTACTAACAAATTCTATAATAATTATAAATCAAATAAAAATTTTGGCAAATAGTTGCAAATCGAAGTTGTTTTTTTTTACACAATTTACAAATAAATTTCATTAAGATTATTGCAACAATATTGATTTATTTATTTGTTTAGTAAAAATAGAAATAAATAGGTGGAAAAACCAACCACTGAAACCACACAAATAAGGTTTTCTTTTTAACACACTAACAAATAAATTAAAAACCTCCAAAAAATATGCTACAAAAAACAAAGATTTTAAAAGCCTTTAGCATATACTACATACAAAACAAAAAAACAACTTTAACAATATGTGTAAATAATATTTTGTTTTTTTTCGCATTATCCTTCAACAGATGGGTGGTATGCACCCTGGAGCCAATAATGGCATGATGAGTACATCAGCACAGTCACAACACACGCATCAATATATGAATGGTAATGGTGGTGGTGTTGGTGGTCCTGGTATGAATCCAGCAGCCATGGGTCCCATGTCGGGTGGTGGCGGTAATGGTGCCAGTACAGCCAGTCAAGCCAATATGCAAATGAATCAAATGGGTGGTGCAAATGTTGGTTCTATGAATCCAGCTGGTCAAATGAATGGTATGCCAGGTTATAATAATGGTATTGGAGGACCAGCAACGGCGTCAGCGAGGCATCATCAAGTAAGTATCAATTTTATTTTATTGTTATTAGTATTAGTTATATTTTGTATAGTGTTTGCTAAAAGAGAACAAACAAAATGTCACTGTATTAGCCTTTTAACTATAAAAGAGGAGAAAATTTTAATATTTAATAAACAGATTTTTAAGGGTTTTGAGAACAATTATATGTATTACAATAATATTATGTTCAATAAAAATTTATGTTTATTTTGTACAATTATTAAATATGTGTCATGGTGGCCTTTTAAAGCAAATATTCATTTTACCATTACTATTGTATTATTATTGTTAATATTATTTTTAACATCTTGGCTATAATGTTTATTTTAAAATTATATAATTAATTCCAAAATTATCACTTGTTTTTGATCACTCCTAAAAAGTGTTGCTTTGGCAAATCATTTGCTTTTCAAAAGCTTGACTTTGGCTATCAAAAACTTATTTTGTTTTTAAGTCTTAAAGTAGAAAAATGATGATGAACAAAAGATGACTTCATCTTTTGTTTAAAATTTTATATTTTGTTTATTTATTTGCTACATGTTGCAATATATATTGTGTTCATATTGTATAAATTATAATGTTATACTTGTACCACACCAATAATAATTATTAGTTAGAATCAATCATGAAACATAAATATAAAATCTCAACAGAAATTGGAAAAAAAAACAAAAAATAAATCAATACAATATTGACGTTGTAAAGTCATTGAAATCATTTGGAGAAAAAACAACAACATAATATGTAAATTTAAAAAAGTGTATTTAAAGCTATTTATAGCTACAGTAGGGTAGTGTCAAGAATTAGATAAAAATCATTAGACATTAAACATGAAATAGTTTTCTTCTCACTCACGAACATATTGATTTCATAATTGTAATATAAAAGCTTTCGCTAAAAAGTTCTCTTGCTTTGTAATTGTTATGTTTTCGCCTACTTACATAAGCTCGGATATCAAACAAAAGCAGCCCAGGAGCTATTTAGTCACTTTCTTGGAAATAGTCTAAAAATCTAGAGAATTAAATAAATGTAATAATTTTCTTATCACTAATACAAAGTTAGAGTAATTTTTAAGTCTAAAAGCTTTACAAAAGCTAAGCTTTTTGACTTTATACCTGAGATCGACAAAAAGCTTTCTCATATAAAAACCTACTAGCAAAACTCAACTGAGAATACAATTGTCATATTCTGGCTGTAAACAATAGATACGACAAAAGCTTTCTTATAAACTTAACAAAACTAGCTTTAAGCTAAATATCAAAAGAACTTGAACATGAAAACATTGTATTCTTAATAACATTAAGTAAAAAGTTAGTTCAAATGTAAAATCTTAAAATGAAAGCTTACAGAATATTTGCTTCAAAACTGATATGATCTAAAAGCTCTCTCATGAGCTCTTTTGCTTACTCATGTGTGTACGTACATAAAAGCTTGAAAGCTAAGCTCACACATGTATAAAAGCTAACGAATAAGATGCTTCAGAGAGCTAATTTATTACTCTCTGTTCACATCAGCTTTAAACAAGAGATTGGCCAAAAGCTTTCTTATAAACAATGCTGCTGACTTGATTTCACACATACATAAGCTCACACATGTATACAAAGCAAACAAATCCAGTCAAAAAGCTATTTAGTCACTCTATGCCGATATGAGCTTTAAATTAATCTGAAAAAATAAAATATAAATAAAGAAAACTTGAAAATTAAATCATATTAAAGTCACTAACGTTAAATTAGTGCAATTTGAAAGCTTTAAAGCTAAACATTCTGAATATTTGGCTTTAAAACTGATATCGACAAAACGCTCTCTCATAAGCTCTCTTACTTTCTCACGTACGTAAGCTCACACATAGTAAAAAAAAACAAACAAAAGTGCTTCTGAAATCTCATTCTCTGTTCACCTCAGCTTTAAGCAAGAGATAACAAAAAGCTCTCTTAAAAGCTATCATGTTATCATGTTGCAAAATATCACATATGTATAAAAAAGCAGAAAGCCTTCTGCCAATAACTGCTCTAAATTAAACATTTTATTCTGCCTATAAAGAATCAATAGGGATCATGTTTATACAACCTATTAAAGCCATATATAGTACATTTAGATATCTCCCCAATTTTGACCAAATATGGTCCTAAAACTTAACACTATTAAAATTGCTAAATTCATCCATAAAAACACTTTAAGGTTGTCTTGTATAATCTGTGCTCAAAAAAATTATATATAAACAAGTATTAAAAAAAAATCTATATTAAAACAAGACACACTTTAAACTATATAATAATAATAATATTATGTATTATCATCAAACAACAACAAGGGCCCTTCACTTTACAAAACTTTTAAACACACACACAAAAAAAAAAAAAAAACGATCAACAAAATATTGAAAGCTTAAACTTGCAATAGCTTAAAAAACTGTGCAATTGTTGTCTATAAAATTATTATATACACTAATAATAACAACACTTTGTCGTATGCAAATTGTTTAAACAGAAGAGTAAAATATAGAAAAAACTTAAAAAAAAAAAAAACAAAATTTTAACAGGGACTTAGAGTAAATGGGGGGGTCAGGCCACATTTCAAATAAGATTTTTTTCTTATTTCTCTCTCAATTTCTTAATTTCAATGAAATTGTAAGACTAATATGGTTCTTTATATCGGCAATCATATTTCTAGACTAATTACCTGATACATTACATGTAGACAGCTAAAGTATCAAAGTGTAAATAAATAACTTGTTTGTTCAAGTTCGATTCTTAGCTAAAACATGATAATGATTTGTACTTACTCAACAACTTACTTTGTAATGACTACTACATACTTGAATTATGAATCAGGTTATTTAAGGTACTTAGTTTTGTACACTAAAAATATGTATAACAAATGAAAGGTCTTTCGAAGGCCTTTCAAATAAGATATTTTATTAAATTTTTATAAATTACCATCATGTTATTGTCTATGGAACCAATCAGTTATATGTTCAAGAATCAATAAGAAAAATCGGTCAACAAATGACTAAAACACTACAACTAAACGTCTTTCGGGTTATTTTAGATTCTAAGTTTTGTTCATTAATAATAAGTATATCAAATGAAAGGTCTTTCGAAGTTGTTTCATATAAGATATATTCATTCATTACAAAAGAACTGAAACCTTATGTATTCTAAGTTGTTGGACGCATAAAAGATTTATCATAACTTCCTGATAGATGGCAAACTTTGGTGCAATAACTCCAACAATTTACCATCAATGTCCTACATCATACTTAAGTTCAATACCCAAATATTTCCCAATTCTTTATGCAGTTTCCCCAGCTATTTGACGATTAGATTAAAAAAAAAATTCCAATCTGTTTGCACTTTTCAAATTCCCAATGTTCACTCCTTTTTAAATAAATTTCAACGCCTCTGTTTTGTTAAAAAAACAGCAAAATATAAATAAAAAATTAAAAATATTTATATATTTATATAGTTATATACATATTAATATTGCGAACATTGCATGTTACTGACTTAGTTCGCAAAACCCGGCAGTTTTTAAAGGCTAATAAAGTAGCTAGCTAAAAATAAGTTTTCAACACTAGTTATGTAACTAGTTACTTTATCTCTTAAATAGATAACTTGAAGATACAAAAACATTGCTTATTTACTTGTTGTAACTTTCACATAAAACTATTATAAATAAGACTACCAAGCGATAGTTAAAACAACAGTTCAATGTAATCAATTACTAAACAACTTCGTCGTAATTGATTTAAAAAGAAAGTTTAGAAATTCCTAAAAACTATTGAAGAAATTTGGGTATAATACAGAACTACTGGTTATTAATTTTATATGTTCAAATGGACACTTATATACCTAGTTATTCATTTATGTATGAAACTGACATTGTGTGAGTAAAATTGTTTATAAATTTTTATAAATATCTACATAAATCTGTAGTATATTTATAAATGTATTTGTTTTTTTTTTGCATACATACCTACCAGATGCATTTACAATTTCTATATACATAGTTTTTTTTTTCAATAACAATTATAATTATTTGCCACATGTCAAGTTTATTTAGCTTCTCTACTAAGGTAACTAACTAACTACACACTTAAATTAACATACCCTACAGAAAGAACCCAGCAAACTTTGCAATGTTAAAAGAGTTTGGGAAATTGAAAATATAAGAAAAAGTCTTTTAAATATGTTTAACTAAAAATGTTTGTTGGGTTTACACTGCAATCATGAATCTTTTATTATTGTTGTTGTTGTTGGCTCTATACCTTTAATTACTAATTTTACATATAGCTATGTATGTAAATTTTATTGTTTTTAATTTTGTTTACAATTCATTGTCATGTTTTTGTAAATATTTCAAAATAAAGTCTGCGTAACTTTATTTAAATATAAAATGTTAGGGTGACCATATATTCAGAATTTTAACGGTTTTTACAAGTATTTTTGCAAACTTTTTTTACCAAAACTTCTTCTTCTTCATTTTCAGATGTCGAGCATGAATCAAATGCAAAATATGTCTATGAATGGTATGGGTGGCATGCAACCGGGTGGTGGTGGCATGGGTCCCGGTGGTTCGGCCAGCAGTATGTCTTTACATCAGCAGCAGCAACAGCAGCAAATGAATGCCATGAATCCAATGGCTAAAATGCAAGGTATGGCCAATGGTGGCTACAATCAAAGACGCATGACACCCTATCCCAATCCACAAATGCATGCGGCACAGAAGCGTGGTGGTGGTGGCATGTATCCCATGAATTCTCAAAATGTTCCTCAACAACAGGGCGGTGGCATGCCATACGGTGCTGGACAAATGCATCCACAATCGAGTAATGGTGTTCCATTGCCCATGCAGGCGGGCTATGGACGAGCTGGCCCCATGGCGGGTTATGGTAGACCAGGACCAGGAAATTGTGGCAGTATGAGTGGCATGGGTCCGGGTGGTATGGGTCCAGGCGGCATGGGTCCTGGTGGCATGGGTCCTGGCGGTATGGGACCTGGTGGTATGGGTCCTGGCGGTATGGACCTGGTGGTATGGGTCCTGGTGGCATGGGTCCTGGCGGTATGGGTCCTGGTGGCATGGGTCCTGGTGGTATGGGTCCTGGTGGCTGCATGAGTTCTATGCAACGTTTTGGTGGCGGCGGTTATGGTCCCAGTTCACATCATTCTCAACAGGGACAATTTTATCCCGGCTCTCAACCTGGTATGGGTATGAATGGTGGCAGCTCTGCTGGTGGCATGTGTCCGGCTGGTCCCGGTTCTGCTTCTAGTACTGGCAATCCTTATCAAAATCAAGGGTAAGTTGAAATTTTCATTACAATACCCTATTTAGTAATGTATTAATAAAATTTAAATTTTATTTAGTTTTCAACAAAATTATCAACATAGTCCAGTTCCTGGCAATCCAACACCTCCATTAACACCCGCCTGCAGTGTACCCTACGTCAGTCCAAATCCTGATATTAAACCTCAAATGGATAATTGTAAGTATTGATTTAAAACACTTCCTAAAACACGATTAATCAAAACACAAACCAATTAACATTTTTCATTATTATTTTTAAGGCGAAGAAATGAGACTGACATTCCCAGTACGTGATGGCATTATACTTCCACCTTTCCGTTTGTTACACAATCTATCCGTTAGCAATCATGTATTCCACCTCAAGCAAAATGTTTACAATACCCTCATGTGTCGGTGAGTTAGATAAAATAACACTAATAACCATACCTTATACTGAAACTAACAAATTTCCCAAAATGTCTTCTTATAGATCGGATTTGGAATTACAATTAAAATGCTTCCATCAAGATGATAGACAAATGAATACCAATTGGCCACATACGGTAACGGTATCGGCTAATGCTACCCCACTAAATATCGAACGTTCCGAGAAGACCGGTCAAGCTTTAAGGCCGTTATATTTGAAATCTGTTTGCCAGCCGGGACGTAATACATTACAATTAACTGCTAGTTCCTGCTGTTGTGTAAGTACAAAAAATATATCTACAACGCCAAAGCAAAATATTAATTTTAATTTTTTTTATTTACAGTCCCACTTATTCGTTTTACAACTAGTCCATCGACCATCTGTACGGCAAGTTATGCAAAGTTTACACAAACGTAATCTATTACCTTTGGAACATAGTGTGGCCAAGATTAAACGCTATTTTGCTATTGGTATGGTGGGCGGTAGTGGACCGAATTCACAGAATCCC